TTGTATATATCATACAATATTATCTAGCACATTCAGATAATGCTACATGTAAATCAAATCTATGCTAACTTGTTGAAAAAATAATTTCTGCCAAATATTGTACACACCAAATATCATAGATTTACAGTATATAAAGAAATCATTCAATGATAACACAGAAATATTTACATCTACCAGATATTATCTTTATTTCTGAAGAAAATATTTACAAGTCATTTATCAAACTGTAAATGCTTAATCTATAGTAAGCAGTTTTTCAAGCTACCTGTGTCGATTTCTTTAGTGATGAGCTTTCAATCAGTACACAAATGACAAAGTACATATCTTCAATAATCCAATATCTAACACACTTACATATATGAATGTACTTTATATGGTTTTCTACATGGACATAAATACACAATTAATGATGAAATTCTTTCTTTGTAAGTATAGGAATTCACCAGAATCACAGTTATACTGCAGACAATTTGGTGGGTTGTGTATTTTCCAACACTTGCAATATTAATTCCAATGCTTTACAACCAAGGGAAGCATTTTATTGTCAAAGTCCCACCACATCACCCTCAAATTGCCCACACCTTAGCTAAGAGAGTCCAAGTCCTACATCACTCCTCAAATTGCCCCCTCTTCCCAGTGAAATAGGTTAAAAAAATCAATTTTTGAAGAAAAAATATTACAATGTACCGGTAATAATTGCCACTAAAAAAATACATTCAATTACATTCACTCAAAGAATTCTGTCCCTATTTACAAACACAATATACAATCTTGTTAGGATCTTCACTTCTTTTTGGCCTTCTGCTTCTTTTCTTTTTTCTTGGAGATGGCCTGCAGTCTTTTCTTGTGTTTTTTGACGCGTCGTGAATTCATCCACACTGGATAATGTCCGTTCTCATCACGCAGAGTTTTGGAATCTCTAGCTTTAGAGTCCACTTCCATACCATCACCTACAAAAAGTTCATAAATAGCGACAAGTTAATATAACTAAAGGTTAATATATTAAGGATACACCAAAGGCTTTTTTCAAGATTTTTGTCAATTTTGAGATTTTTGGCTATAAAAAACAATGCTAATCACTGCTTTATAATGCATGAAAAATTCTTGTTCATTATTGAATGGTTTTCTAATTATTTAACAATAATCAAACATAAACACTAACACATGTGAATGTGCCGTTATTGAAGCTTCTGATTTGGTCTGTAACTGCCTGCTACTGAAAGGAGCAATAAATCACTGTGACCACTTGGGGAATTCTTCACTAGCCACACAGAGGCTATCAATAATTAAACTACAGGGACTCTAGATTTAGGGAAGGAGATCTAACAGGTCACTAATGACCATGAAATAGGAGGTGTAGCTTAGCTCTTGCCATTTTGCCGGGAAATCTTTTTGATTCAGAATTGAACCTATTTTACTTCATTAAAAGCACCTAAATAAAGAATAGAACCTCCCATTCTTGTGAATATGCATAGGAAATATGGATAAGTGACAGGTATCCTAAGCTGAATCTCCAAGGTGTCATATATTTCTAGCTTTGGCAGACTCTGTTGTGTAATGGGTTTTTGCCCTCTACTGTAAAGTAAGATCAGACAGTTGGTGGTGTTATTTCAAAGGATTCAGCTCCCTTGTTTATTGACCAATTTCTCTGAAAACTGACCAGAATGCGTCTCAAATGTGTGTTCACAAAACCGTATCTCAGATTTTTGATATCTTGTTCAGTTCTTGAATTATTGGGGGAAATGTAGAATTGGGCTAATAAATTGGTAACATTGAAAGACAAATGGATGTAACTTTTGAATAAGAAGATTTATCAAAAATCTGAGATACGGTTTTAAAGTTCAATCTTTAATCTACATTGAGGCAAAATTTTGACTTTGAGAGGTGGCATACAAAAAAGTTGATTTATAAAATATAAACGCACTAATATTTACCTTAAAATATTAATAACTTTTAAATAAGATAAAAATGAAAATTTAAATTACGATCATTAAATAGTAAATTTAACAAGCTTTCAAATGATGTATACTTTTAATATGTTATCTTTATTAATGAAAGAATTACAAGCAAAATAAATTTTGCCCTTTGGAAACCTTTGGTGTATCCTTAAGGACATCACTTCACTTTCTATCCAACATGTCCTGGTACTAAAGTTCTAATTCCTCATGAAGTAAATTAAGAAACAGCTTTTAACAGGTAAAACAAAAGAATAAGTTGGGACAATTTAAGATTCACCACATGATTTTTAAATAAAACTTAAAGAAAAAGAAAATTAGCCAAAACTTGTCAGTTAAGATGAAACGAGAAAAAAAAAGCAAAAATATGTAATAACCAGACACTGATTTAGAAATTAAAGGCATCATTATGAGATAACTGTTAATTGGAATAGAAGCTTACCTGAGGGTTCAGCTGCTGCGTCGTCTTTGCTTCCCAGGGGTTTTGTCACTGAAAGTGAGAATAAAGGGACATAACTTTCAATAGTTTAGAACCCACTTTTTAATGATGATATATTAAAGCGAAAATAAATTAAGTTTCAATTTTTCGGTTGTATTCACAAGAACATTGTTAGATAAAATGTGTGGCCTTCTCCCTGATAAAACCTTACCTGTATACAGGTCTTTCATTTCCGTATCTTTATCTTTTTCAGCTAATGCCACGATTTCCTTCAACTTCTCCAGTTCCTTTTTGGCATACCTCTCTCTCTTGATGTTTCTCAACATCCGTTTCCGCTTGCTTCTGATGCTCTTAGCCATGTCTAAAGAAAATAAAGATAACAGGGTTCAATAACAGAATAACACAGTCAGAAACTCATGACCAGACTTACAGGTGCTTGTTTCATTCAGCGTATTAGTTTACTACTATACAATAAAAAATTAAAGTACCCATCTTTATCATAGACACTCCCATCTTAATTGTTAAAAAAAATATATCTATACTACATGTATAAGTTTTCCATCTTAATTGTTAAAAAAATATTTCTCTACTATACTATAAGTTTTGCTTATAGTATAGTGGAAAACTTATAGTATAGTAGAGATATATTTTTTTAACAATTAAGATGGGGAGTGCCTATGATCTTTATCAAGAACTTAAATGTAGATCACCAATTCAAAACTTTTTGGCCCTTTCAAATAAAAAAAAATTAAAAAATCTTTAACATACCCAGGAACGTAATAGGTCCCTGAAATACTCTATATACCAGTTTAGGTTTCAGTTCGGTTTTCCAAACTTTCTATTTATTTGCAAAACCTGTAACGAACTAGTTTCAAACCAGAACTAGTTTTTTCGTTTATCGACTTTAAACTAAAACTAGTTTCCTGAAAACTTTAAACCACCCCCGGGTGCGGTTTTGACGGTTTTAATTCCTTTCAACATGGCGAATGCAGAATTTTTGGTGTTGCAATGCGACCAATGTGGGCAGCAATATGACAGAATCGACTAGTTTTCAGGGCACATATGCTGTGTAAAAAGTATACAGTAATTGTTGTTTCACTTCAATTGTAAAAAATGTTACCATATGTTACAAACATAAGGACAAAAACTAAAGTAAATTAATAAAAGCACAGACATAAATAAATGTTATTTATGTCTATGATAAAAGTAGATTCATTCTTGTTAGTTGAAGTTATGATCATCATGCATATATCAAAGATGGAGCTAACATGGCAATTATGGACTCAAGGGTATGTCTGTTCATTCTAAATCTGTCACGGAAATCATCCATTCTATACAAGGGTAATATTGTCTCAACATAATAGTGACACAAGCCATCCTTTGTCACCCCTTTTTTTTTAAAGAAGGGTAGAACTCAGCATGGGTATTACAATTACACTCTCGTGTAAATGAAGATAAGTTGTAGAAATATCTTCTTCAGATTATGAGAAAAAATCTAGTAGTCAGTTCTATGTCATCCATATTTGATGTTTTTGTGTGTGTTTTAAATGAAACTTTCCATTTAGTGCTAAACCATTAAAACATAAAACCATTTTCAAAATTAATTAAAACTATTTTCAAACCATAAACCTAAACTAAAACTAGTTTTTGATCAATAAATTCGCCCTTAAGGTCAGACGAGACGTTCCTCAAAATCTGTTTGGTATATCTTCGTAATGTATGGAAAATATTCAATATTTTAATTAGATTCTTATTTCTAAACCAGTTTCTAAACGTCTTTTAAAAATACAAACACTTAAACATTTGAAATTGGAAAAATATTTTTCCTCCCAAAAGGATTATATAAGAAAAACGGGTACTACTAAACAGAGTACGCTAGAGTACGATAGAGTACTTTAGAGTACGCTAGAAAAATTATGTTATTTAATGCAATTAAATTTTTTATTTATGTATGTACAACTTGACTAAACATTATTATAAACTTATTTTCAAATATTTGTTTTTTATCGATATTTTGACAAAAATAACATCCAAAATTAAACGCATTAAAGATTACAGTATACCTATAGCTAATACCCCAATCTCGATTAATATTTTGTTTCAGACTTTCTTACTAAAGACTATAGCGAGCGTCGCGAAGCGACGCTCGCGAAGCGAGCTCAATAGACTTACGTGTATGAACAGAGGAAATTCGGATTGAAATCTGTACATACGTCAGCCAAATTTCTCTGTGCAACATTCCCAGAATTCCTGCACTACCCAATGTCCTTTGCGCGAATAAATCAAAAATAGTAAAAAAATTAAAGGAACATTGTTTCTTACCGAAATCTTAACGAAATGATTTTGCCTTACCTTATTCAAAAAAATACCCCCATGCCACAACACTGGCCTTCACCTTGCCCTTCGGAAATGATACAAATGACGTCACCGGAAACTTACGAATTTTGACGAACTTATGTCGGTTGCTTCCGTGAAACTTGGAAAACATGTTGCGGTGCATAGCAACATGGTGGCTAAAACATAACTGAAAAGAACGATTTAATGCAATCTCTTTTCCATAAAACTAGCGTTTGCGTCCTAAGTCAACAGAACTTTTTATCTGACGTCATACTTTCGTCACTTCAAAGGTTCGGGTGTTTCCGATTTTGTCGGAAACTTCCGAGAAGTTTGGAATCTCGATCCCGATGCTTGGGAAATGATTTCTTTTTATTGTTTCGTTTTATTCTTTTTGCTTTCTTTTTCTTGAATGATAGACAGTACATGTGTAGGTTTATGATAGTAAATAAACTGTGCTCGCCGCAACGGTCACACCGTAAAACATATTATCTAAATTTTATCAAATATTACATTAATTGCATGTGTTAATATTTTTCACATTCACAATGAGACATTTTAACATGTTTAAGTTAAATTAGATTGGGATCAAACGATCAACCGTAACCTGAAATCATACATTCAAATAACCCCTAAAATACAGAAAACAAAAATTTTATATTTTAAATATATATTCAATATGTTAAACTAAAGTAGAAAAGCATACAAAAAGTAGTTTAATTGCATTAAATTATTAAATATTACTAGCGTACTCTAAAGTACTCTATCGTACTAGCGTACTAGCGGTTTAGTAGGACCGAAGAAAAACTACACCTGGTATCTTGCAGAAATGCCTGGTAAGGTACCTCTAATTTTTGTGAGTAAACATGCATAAGTAGCAATACTTCCATGACAAAATCTTGGAAAATTTTATCTTTTATTAAGGAACGTCTCGTCTTTCTTTAACATTACCTGGTTTTGTTTTCAAGTACTGCACGTGTCTGTCAATGCACCGGAAGTTTATGTTAGATATCTTGGTCTTTGGTGTGTTTGTTTTGACTACTGGGTCGTTTCGCTTCCTTACAACTTCACCCCCCCACCCCACCCCACCCCACCCGTAAGAAATTTATGGGTTAAGTCCTCTAACGTTAGAGAATACATAATATCCGCCAATAGGATTTCACCCTAGACTAACTGAGGCTTCAAGACGGCCCCAGGCTCCCTGTCTAGTTTTTGTGCCCAAGTACCTGTATAAACCATCATATTTAGTTTCTTTCCCCACACAGTGATTCTTTGGAATACTCTCCCACACTCAGTGGTGGCAGCGGCCTCTCTGGACCAGTTCAGAACTCTGGTCCCAAGTTATGTTCCATAACTCTTATATTCAGAACAAATCAGCTAGAGTACATTGTAAATATATATAGATATACACTTTTTTATGCACAATGTAAATTGTTTCCTAAAGCACTTATAAATTTAATTTAAATTTTTCATGGCATTAGTTTTTAAATTTTATTTGTAAATTTTTTTTTCTCTCCTACTTTTTGATTTAATTTTAGAGGTCCGTTTGCGCAGGGCCAGCGTATAATCATGTCACAGGGTCACGGTCTTGTTTGAAAAATTCAGAACAAAACTGGTTCGGTCGTTTTACAATTTATTGATGGATATAAAGAAAAACCTAGAAAATAGAAAAACACTCTCACAACACTCATACAAAACAATGTACACATAGACAAACACGAAACAAAGACATTTACGAAAAGTATTAATTAATAGATATTTAACCGACTGCCAGTAAATCGTTACATAAATTAAACAAGTAAATGAATTACAAGATAAATGAATATCTTACCAGGCATCCAGTATCAAATCAGAAAAATATAATTATATGCTGTACATCGATTGAATCGATCTGTGATAGAATCTATATGATCTGCTGCCGTAAAGGCTGTAGAGCTTGGGGTGGGGATTTGGCGGGTTCCTTACTTTATATAGTGCACGGGTTAGTAAAACATGCATATTAATTAGTATAACGAAATCCATTGGTCCATGGTAGGTCACTGGTCAGTCATACGTAAAGGAAATGCTAAAAATAGAAATTCACCTGTACAAAACAAAACACTCGCACATGGCTCTCACATACCTGCAAAACCGGTCTGTATTCGATTGGCTATGCGCGCCAATCAGAATACGTACTTATATTGCGCAAAGCATTAAAGTAAATATTCAATAATAATTATAATTTAATTACAACTGTGACATTCTCCCCTGCTAGGGAAAATGGCTCCTGACATTTTAAATAACTGAAGCAAATAACAATGTCCATGTAGCATTGTACAGACAAAGTATTATAACCCAAACATATTTACAACCAAAATGAACATCAACTATGTGACATTCTCCCCTGTATATACTATACGTAATAAACTGGAGTAACCTGGTGCACCCACTCTCCGTACCTTTCCGGTTTTCTCACCTGTCTAGTAGAACGTCTAGGGAGGGGTGTTGGTGTACTCTGTACAGTAGATAAATTGCGATTCAAAGTAGAATCAGTAGTATTATAATACGTACTGGTAGTAGAATCATAAGTACTTGGACTATGATGAGAAATAGTACTTGGAAGTCTACTTACTGTAGTAGAATCCTGACAAGTACTTGGACTATGATGAGAAATAGAACTTGGAAGTCTATGTACTCTACTTACTCTACGTTGAGGAATGATATAAACTTGTCTATCATCAGAATCTGAGTCCGAGTCTGAAGATTCTGAGCCTGAAATAGCAGCGTCACTTACCTTACACTCACTCTCAAGTGAAGGAGTAGGAATACTTATGACTGGGGTGGGTGTCTTATCAGTAGTTTTTAAAGGGAGTGTCTTAGAACCTGGGCTGATCTGCTCTGTTTCTGATAACCTGGGTATATAAGAGGTTGGCAACAACATGTTTCTATGCAAGGTCTTAGATTTATCTTTACCATTCTCTTTTTTCACAATAAACACAGGAATATCAGGGCTGGGCTGTTCAGTAACAATGTAGGGGTCTCTGGCCCATTTATCAGCCAGCTTATTCTTTCCCTTCAAACCCACATTTCTAATTAATACACGATCACCGACCTGTATTTTAGATTCTCGTACTTTTGCATCATAGATGCTCTTATGACGAGTTGCGTTCTTTTCTGCTTCTCGTGAAGCAACTTTATATGAAAATTCGAGTCTCTTCTGTAGTTTCTTCGCAAAATTATCGCGACTACGTATTTTCTCTGACGTATCGGAATTTAAATTGAGAAACGCATCAATTGCTAAACGTGGATGTCTCCCAAACATGAGGAAGAAGGGGGAATAACCAGTACTCTCATGTCTTGTTGCATTATATGCATGAACAAGTGTACTTACAAAGGATTTCCAGTCATCCTTTTGTTTGTTGTCTAGGGTACCAAGCATCTTGATCAGAGTCTGGTTAAACCTCTTGACCATACCATTCCCCATGGGGTGATAGGGAGAAGTTCTAGATTGTTTCACACCAGCTATCTTGCAAAGCTCCCTAATGACATGACCTGTGAAATTTCTACCTTGGTCACTGTGTAACCTGTTAGGGAAGCCATAGTGTAATATGAAATTCTCAAACAAAATCCTAGCAGTTGTCTTTGCCGTCTGGTTACGTGTAGGAAAAGCTTGTGCATAACGGGTGAAATGATCTGTGACCACTAAGACGTTTTCAAACCCACCTTTACTCTTTTCAAGGGATAAATAGTCTATACAAACCAAATCGAGAGGATGGTAACTCTCAATATTTACAAGTTCAGCTGAAATTTTCTCTGGTGTTTTGAACTTGACACAGCGATCACAGGTCTTGATTCTGTTGGTGATGTCCTGAATCATACCTGGCCAATAGAATCTCTCTTTCATAAGCTGGGTTGTTCTTTCTCTGCCATGGTGTCCTAAATCTGTATGTAAGTATTCAAATGCTGCATCCCTGAAATGAGCTGGTAGAACCAATTGTTTGACATGATCATGGTTTAAAACAGATGTTCTGTACAAAATACCGTTTTCTATCAACAATTTGTCTTTTTCTCTGAAATATTTGCAAACTTCTTGAGTCTCTGATTTTAAATCTGACTTAGATAGTAAACATCCCTGATTCAATAAATGTACAACTCTACTAATATCCTTATCAGCTGATTGTTCTTTTTGCCAATCAATGTCAGAAAAAACACATGAATCAAGACATGAAGTTTCAGGTAAAGAAGAAAAGTTTGACTCACTTTGTGCCTCACTTTGTACAATACCAGTACTTACAGTCATACATGAAGCAGATGTGACGTTATAAGGTAGGTATATATTCTCAAAGTAGGGACAGTGTTCTCTGTTTGTAGTTTGTGCATTACAGATGGACTGGACTACATCAGGAATGACATCTGTTTCCAAGGGTCTTCTAGATAAGCCATCTGCATCTGCATTGTTGATACCCTTCCGGTAACGGATGGAAAAGTGAAAGTTACTCAAAGCAGCTAGCCATCGATGTCCTGTGGCATCAAGTTTAGCAGTGGTCAAAACATAGGTGAGCGGGTTGTTATCAGTGATGACCTCAAAGTTGTTTCCAAACAGATAGTCATAGAACTTTTCTGTCACCGCCCATTTCAATGAAAGGAATTCCAACTTATGCGCAGGATAGTTTCTTTCGCTGTTCTTCAAACCTCTACTAGCATAAGCTATCACTCGCTTCTCACCATTCTGCTGCTGATAAAGTATGGCTCCCAAACCATTTCTTGAAGCATCTGTATGGAGGATAAAAGGCTTGTCGAAGTCAGCATAGGCGAGGATTGGTGGTGATGTAAGTTTCCTCTTGATTTCTTCAAACGCTTGGGACTCCTCATCTCCCCATCTCCATGGTGGTGGTTTGACTTTGGACTTACCTTTTTCCTTAGAGTTTGTAGAATGGCCCTTCAGAAGATCGTTGAGGGGCTTAATGATCTTAGAGTAATCTTTTACATACCTCCGATAATATCCTGCAAATCCTAGGAATGTTCGAGTGTCTTGATATTGTTAGGGGCTGGCCATGTAGAAATAGACTTGGTCTTCTCTGGGTCTGTAGCTACACCTGCTTTACTTACTACATGTCCTAAGTAGGTAACACTCTCTTTGAAAAACTCACACTTCTTGGCCTTAAGCTTAAGATTATGTCTCTCAAGTCTCTGAAATACAGCTGTCAGTCGGTCCAAGTGTTCGTCATATGTTTGCGAAAATATGAGTATGTCATCGAGAAAAACAAGACAGTCCCTCAAGTTCAACTCACCCATACATCTTTCCATAATCCTCTGAAAAGTCGCAGGTGCGTTCGTCAATCCGAACCCCATTCTGTTACACTCATAGTGACCAACACCGCTGACTGAAAAGGCTGTCTTCTCTTTGTCCATCTCTTCTATCTCAACCTGCCAGTAGGAACTGGTTAAATCTAGTTTGGTGAAGAAGTTAGACCCAACCAATCTGTCGATAGTGTCGTCAATGCGTGGAAGGTTGTATGCATCCTTGATGGTTCTGGAGTTGAGTTTCCTGTAGTCTATGCAGAAACGTAAACTACCATCTTTCTTTCTGACCAATACTATGTTGGAGGAATATGGGCTCTGTGACTGTCTAATAGCTCCAACATCCAGCATCTCCTTAATGTGTTCTCGTACTTCTGCATACATTCCAGGTGGAATCCGTCTGTATGGTTCTTTGAATGGTGTGTTGTCGGTAAGCTTAATTTCATGTTTTAAAATATCAGTCTTACCTATATCAGTTGGTCCATCTGAAAATAAATGAGTCCAACCAGAGAGAAACTTCTTAACCTCACTTACTTGTTTAGAAGTTAAGTTCTCCTCTGATATCTTGATGTCCAATTCCTGCAAAGACTTTCTGGGTTTCTTAATACCTTGATCCTGTGTTTCAGGATTCCAAGAGTCCACTAACTTGACACCACTTACTGAACATAAAAGTGATTTCGGTGGTATATGTACAATAGAGGCTGAAATATTGCAAACCCTAACAGGAATAGTAGTAGTATGCTTACCCTGGGTAAGGGAAATAACTCTAGGACAAACAATGAGACCTCCTGATAATGAAGTATTTGTTTGCTCAGTTAAAGCTGATACAATACCATGGTTATTTCTTACCAGACCTCTGATTACTTTTGTCTCATTTGGTAACACTTGAATGGTATACTTGTTAGTCGTCTTCACTGGTGTTTCATCATTCATACTGTCAAATGCTATCTTCCATTGTTCTGGAACATCATCTGAATCAGTGGAATTCTGGTTACAAGCATTCCTGTAAAAACAAATGAAATTAATTCCAAGAATCATAGGTACTTGCCTTGAATAATTTGTCTGGGGAACTACTAGAACAGGAATAGTATATGTAAATTCACCAAAGCAAGGTACACATATGTCAATTTCAGCATAGCCACTATATGGCAAAGCACTGCCATTAGCGCTCTGAACATTGAGTTCAAATTCTGAAAGGTCATGCAACTCAGGCTTAGGGTTTAAATGTTTGAAAAATTCTTCAGAAATACAGGTTATCATAGATCCTGAGTCTACGAGAGCTTTTGTTCTTAAGCCATTGACAATAATATCAGATTCATTGGATTCTCCAACTAACCTGTACAAAAGACTGGATTGATTTTTGGTGTAATTAGGGCTATTTTGAAATGCATCTTCAGTTTGCCCCGCAACAGGAGATGAAACTAGTTTAAAGTACTACCTGCACCAAACCCATTCATGTTAGCAGACTGTTGAGTAAACTGCCTCTGTTGCCATGGTTGCTGAGTCTGTTGCTGCTGGTTTGAAGGTTGCTGAGATTGGAAATACATTCCTCTGCCCCTGTTGGCGAATTTCTTCCTGCCCTGAAAAATTCCTCTGTGGTTAGTATTGTTGGAGGTATTTGTCTGAAAAGAACCTGTATTATTAAAACCAGTTGCTTGAGTTTGATTATTTGCATTTGAACTTTGCTCAATTTTACTCATTCTGCTATCAAGTTTCTTCATCTGAGAAAGTAATTCTGTGAGTTGTTTTTGCATATTTTGCAGTTCAGAATTTTGAATTGTCAATGAATCTACATTACTTGACATAGCAACACTTGATTTGGGAACTGAATTTACAGATTTCAAACTAGTTTCCTCTTGTTCAATCTGTCTTATTTCCCTAAGAAGGGAGTGAAACTCTTTTACAGTCTCATACTTGTGCCTTGTAGCATTTCTTAACTGTGTGCTCCTTAGACCTGACCAAAACTTTGATCTAAGCATTGGGTCCTTGGCATTTACATCAATGTGACCTACTTTTACAGCTTTTGATAAACACTGTTCTAACCTAGATCCATAGGAAACAATTGACTCACCCTCTTGTTGATGATCTGAATAAAATTTCTGCATGATGTTTTCGGGTGTGCAGACATTCCCATAAAAGTCATCTAACTTTGCGAGGATGTTCTCAACCGTTGCATGTTCTCCAAGTGGAATCAGAATTTCTCTCGCCATCCCCTTCAGAGAACTTCTCACTGGCTGCAAAAGAACATGATCAGGCCACTGGCCCTTTAAGCACCTAACCTCATACGACCAAACGTCATAGCTCACTTCACCTTTTTGAGCTTGCTCACTACCACTAAAAGTTGGAAGCTTTATAGGGGTAGGGTTGTTATTTTGATGAAACAGAGCAGAGCTATTAAACAATTGAGGTGATGACATAAGACCTGGCGGGTGTAAATAACCTGGTGAGGGTATGTGACTAGGGATCGGTACTTCACCTAAGGATGGTAGTTTAGGAATGGTACCCTTATTCAAACCATGTTCAACTTTAGGGGTAGTTGGAATTTTCTGCGCTTTCAACAGGTCGTACTCCTCTTTTGTCATAACCCTGTAATGCTCTTCTGCATTGATTTGCTCTATAATTTCTTGCAAGTCCTTCTTACCCTTGGTTTCATCAATATCATCTTGTAAATCCTTCTTACCCTTGTTTTCATCAACACCAGTTGCCATGTTGATTTTTCAATTGATACCAAATCGCAAGCAAAGATTAACTTATCGCAATGCGCAAATGTCAACACACAAGCAATCACTCACTCAAATTCTGTATAAATACAAATACATACACAATAAACTGAAAAAAAATACCCAAATTTACCTCTGCTTTGTCTAATAGTCCTGTTGTTCTCAGTCCTGTGCTCCAATTAGTAATGCTGCAATATTAAGAAAGTGATCGCGCGCAGGGAAATTTTCAGCTACTATAAACTACTGTACATGATCAACTCGCATCAACAAAATGTTCAACAGACAATGACATTGACGGACAAAAATAAACATTGACGGTCAACAAAACAAACACGACTGTAGACAACACAGTACATATAATAACATCAAGCACAGTACACATACATTTGGCAGTTTAAATTCCGATAGGTGCCTGTTCAAGCACAGATAAACAAAACATTTACCAACTCAAAACACGTTTTCTGTACTTCCGGAAGTTTACCACCAAAACAAGGAAAAAATATATCGAGCTCGATCCCGATCAAAATTCACACACGCACTTCTTACACACAGCCGGCATCTCTCAAACAAATCAATACAAAGAACATAAATCACAATAATACATAAAACAAATAAATAACACATAGAAAATATAAATACAAGTGCGCACAAATATTTTTCTTTAAATCTAATTCAAAGAAATCAATAAACTGTTGAGTTGTAGCTTCAGGTTCCGGAACACTTCACACGGAATAGAAGAATTTACCTGAGCACAATTCACCGGTCACGTTACACGGATCACTGAGCATCCGAGAGACACAGTTCTCGATTCCATAGGATGATTGGAATGTTAAACATAAGTTAGCTAGCTAGAATGATATTTAAACACATGTATTCAAAATGCGCAAACTTACAGCCTAGGCGGATCCATGGGGAATTAATAGGCACTGGACACGTACACAATGGCGTTGTGGACAATCCTCTCGTCCCTCAGTGGATTACTGGACCCTGGTCATCATCCATTGGAAAACTTGAAGTTGACGATAATTCATCATGGAAATCAACATACAAATCACTGTAGTATTCACTCCAAGTTGAAAATTCACGTGGGCGCCATTTGTCACAGGGTCACGGTCTTGTTTGAAAAATTCAGAACAAAACTGGTTCGGTCGTTTTACAATTTATTGATGGATGTAAAGAAAAACCTAGAAAATAGAAAAACACTCTCACAACACTCATACAAAACAATGTACACATAGACAAACATGAAACAAAGACATTTACGAAAAGTATTAATTAATAGATATTTAACATGTTTAACCGACTGCCAGTAGATCGTTACATAAATTAAACAAGTAAATGAATTACAAGATAAATGAATATCTTACCAGGCATCCAGTATCAAATCAGAAAAATATAATATACAGTACATCGACTGAATCGATCTGTGGCAATATTCTAAGCAATCTGCTACCGTAAAGGCTGTAGAGCTTGGGGTGGGGATTTGGCGGGTTTCTTACTTTATATAGTGCACGGGTTAGTAAAACATGCATATTAATTAGTATAACGAAATCCATTGGTCCATGGTAGGTCATTGGTGAGTCATACGTAAAGGAAATGCTAAAAATAGAAATTCACCTGTACAAAACTAAACACTCGCACATGGCTCTCACATACCTGCAAAACCGGTTGTATTCGATTGGCTATGCGCGCCAATCAGAATACGTACTTATATTGCGCAAAGCATTAAAGTAAATATTTAATAATAATTATAATTTAATTACAACTGTGACAAGATATTGAATTCATGATAACAAATAACATTTTAATCATTAAACACAGTTTAATGTTAAAAATTAATTATAATCAGGTTGGGCACAGCCTACCAAATGGTACTTTATCCCCGTTTGGTAGATAATCTACCATATCGGTAACGAATTTTACTAACCAAATGGGGGACAAAATTGGTTGTGTTTAATTTCCTGGAGTAGAGTGGAATTTCGCATAATTTTAAACCATGTGGAATAAAATATAGATATTTATCGGTGTACTGGGTGAAAAAAATCAAAAATTCTATGTGCAATTTTTTGCGCAGAGTCGTTCAAAAATTTGACAAATAGCGTAGCTTATGTAAACAAGTGCAATGTTTTTCCGTTTTTTACTTTAAAAGAACATTCTCTGCTTCACCAACGATGCTGCGCCTGTCAATCATATCCTTTACTTTCTATTTCGATTATCCGGGAACCAATCAATTAGTGCAAACCAATCAAAACGATGATCTTTTTTTAAACCT